TCATGAACATATGTTATTGTCTGATCACTAGATGATGCCAAAGCCATTGTCTGTGTATAAAGTTACCGTGCATGACCAAGATAATTATTAATTATTTCATTTTTGATATTTTTCTACTGGAATGTTAAGGATGGAATGCTCTTCAATATATACAAGTATTACAATATTTATATATCCGTTAACTTGTAGACTTCACTTGTATACCTATTGCTATTAAAGTTCTGAGGTGTGATTCTTTCCACACCGCTGTGGTGGACCTGTGGTCTCCTCTGTCTTTGTCAGAAGTATTTTTAGACCAAACTGATTTGTGAAAAAGTGTCAATGCGAACCAACTTCTTTCCTTATGGAAAAATTCTTGAACTTTATAACCGGATGTTTGATGGTTTACTTTCAGTGTTTTTGACTCTCCGAATAAGGAAGTCATTAGCAGCTTGCAGGGCCTAATTACTAAGGTAAGGCCTATAAAACAGCCAGTAATGGTATCAGTGCTCATGTGTCTTCCCAACCACTTAAAACAATAACACGCATGCTGTAATTAACCTTACCTCACACAGAATACAGTAAACGTGTGAGCAGGGCTGTCATTTACATGCTCTGCCACTCTGTATTTTAGTAATTTGACTTAATACGTTTGTTGGAAGTAGGCACTTTATGGACATATATGTATACGTAGATGAAAGGGAAGTACAGGGTACAATAGCCTGGATAACCTGAATAATAGATGACACTATTTTAGTCTACACAGATGTCAGTCTGGGTGTGTGACATGTGAACGTTTCAACAAAGTAGTAAATATTGTTGAATGAAAGGACCCTGCTGGCGTTTCGTTCTGGTGTCCCGTTTCAAAAGGTTAACTGTGACCTGATACAGTTAACCATAGCCCTGTGTGTGAGGTCAAACAAAGAAAGTTTAGAACAAATAGTAGGGTTGTGTCTTAAACATTCCTGAATGACTTAAATCTTTCATCACATTACTGCATGTCCATATTCCTAATGCTTTTTATGGTATTTACTATTAACCAATATTCTACACATGTAGGCTATGTGCCTAAACAGGACCAGAATGATGTACATTTCTATTGGTCTTTAAAGCATCCTCCAGGCTGATCTCTTCATCGCTCCTCGTCTTCCTAGAGGCTTTCCTGGCATTTCCTCTCGCTGTCCGGCAGCACGGAGGGAGCATCTGGAACTGTTTTCTTTGAGGGGAAAGGACCGGGTCGCAGTTGAAGTGTGCTGGTTCAGGACACATACAGTAGGACTGTCACTATGTGTAAACAGAGAACAGGAGCTAACGGCTGCATCAGCGTCAGTGTAAACTTGAATATCATCAAACGGAGGCACTGACGGAGAGTCATGTGGTGTTCTACTCAGGCTGCTCCGACTGATGACGGGAAATATATACGGCCATGTGTTACATATTCCTGAAAATCATTTTACATGATCATATTTGAACTGTTCTTTTAAGACAGGCTGGATAATTACTTCTGGCAGGGGTTATGTTTTCACCAGCGTTTGTCTGTGTTAGCACGATAACTCAAAAAGTGATCAGTAGATTTTTACGTTTTCAGGAAACCTTGGAAACAAATGGAACAAATTAGTTTATTTTGGAGATGATCCGGATCACTGTGTGGCTCCAGGTTTTTTTTTTTTTGTAAGCGAACTGCGCCTCTTGACAGAGGTCTGCACTCTACAAGTCATATTATGCAAACACGATCACTAAAGCCAGAACAAGAACATAGCAAACCTTGATGCCTGTTCTTTTCCTTTATACAGTTTATCAAAGTCAAAGTTAATCTAGGATCAGTCAAAGAAGATTTCCCCAAAGATTCAAGATCCTCCGTCCAGGAAGACGATCTAATCTGACAAACATCGACCTAACGGTACAGAGTCTACACAAAACCACCTGGGAAACACATATGATTTACCAGTTAAGAATAAATACATGTCTCTGAGTCTTAACAACGATGGTGCTTTGGTTACAGAACTAAACTTATTGTTCACTAGACAAATATCAATAAAACTTGAGAAATTGGTAACCAAAACAGCCTCTGCTCTTCTTTATGAACTGTAAGCATTAACAAGCTCTTAGTGGAGGCCATGGGAACTGGACTGAATTATTTATAGCCAGTGACGGACTATTCGGGGGCCACTTCTATGTGGCTTTACAGGAATGCGTAGGGTCACCCGCTGACCAAACCTTTAGAGGCGGGAGTTTGGGAGGCTCGCTCGGACTGACGTGGGTTATCTGCTAAAATGAAGACATAAGCTACAGTCTGGTGAGCAGGCCCAGCAAGGACAGGAAGTTAAGATGTAGAAAAAGGACCAAATAGGGAAATCTGTCTTGTGCACGCGCTTCTTTTGGTTGTGCATTGTTGTAGTTGGGATTAGGTTAGAACCATTGACTGTATATCACCCTGTTTGCCGAATTCTGAAGAACCCAATTTGAACAAAAGCAAGCTAGAGCCGATTTCCTTAAATGGGCATTTGTTCCGCATAGCTTTGCCCCATAGTAGGGACAGACCTGTTGCTAACATGAACCACAAATTGAAGGCCTCTGATTGGTCAACCCTTATAGCTCATACCTGGATTTACAAAGACAATATCAACATAAAAACACCAGGATCGTAGAAAGGGATAGAGCATACATTGTTTGAACCCAAAATGGTGAGTGTGACACAAACTGTGAGTAGGAGGCAGGGGAAGGAGCAAAACTTTGTCCATGAGCACTTCCCCCATTGGGCTTCATTGAGCTTGAGGGCTAGTATTGTGCATCTATATTCAGTCTATGGTAACAGGTTGCTCTATGAGGGAAGTTCCTTTTGCTTATGGCCAAAACCAAATACATTTTTCACTTTCAAAGCAGCAATCTTTCACCACTGACTATCATTTCTTACAACATCGCCATACTCAACAGTTGCGCGTAGGCCTGGTCCTTAAGCCAATTGTTTGTCTTCACATCAAACTGCTAAGACCTACTGGCCCGGCTGTCAAGAGCGGAGCAAAGCAGGGGCCCCAAGCTCAGTGACACAGTGGTACCCATCACAATGTCATCAGCACGCCCGGATACAGCCTGGAAATGAGGACACACATTTGACCTACAAAGAGCTAAGGGCCAAGTGTTGAGTGATAGCCTACTCTTCATGTTGCTATGCTAGTTCTGCTCCTGCTAGCATAAACTACAGCAGTGACAGATTTAAGCAGAATTCTCCTGACAGAGCCATCAATGATCACCAGTCACACACCCTCTTTCTTTTCAACTTCCCTTTGCCCAATTAAAATAATGTGTTGCCGGTCTGTACTTTTTACAACAATCAAACGTTTCTGGGTGTGGTGAATTCTGCTCTTCCAGTTCTTAAATTAAATCAATGAACGCACATACCAACTCTTGAGCAGCAGATGAGAAAAACAGAAAAAAGCAACGGGAGATGGTGGAGGGAAACCGTCACTTTTACGGCAAGCTAATAACCAAGTTCAAGTATAGATTGAATCATGTTTTTTTTTTTATGCTGCAGCGGTAAGAAAGCACCGGATGCTAATGGCTAGTTTAGCAAAAGCCACAGTGGAATGTACCAATATGTTAGAGGATAGACAGTGTGTACGCCCCCCCCCCCCCCCCCCCCCCCCCCCCTTTTTTATAGTGTTCGGATGGCCCTCTCTGGATATTCTGACATCACTGTCTGTCAAAAAGTGTGGTTTCAATGCAAATTAGGAAAGAAAGGAAAACCAAAACCATGATATTGCCCCACCACACCCCAGTCACGAGTGGTTTAAGGCAGCGGGCGTGGGCACAGGCAAGGACATACCAACTATGCCAACCTGCTTTGGGAATCGGTCACTTTCTTTCCACCCTGAATGTAACGTTTGTTTTTGTTTGGTGGGAATAACATAAATCGCGCAGCGTAAATAAAAAAGGCTAATTATATGCTATAACTGCTCACAATTTCAGCAACAGAAGCGCAGAGAAAGTATGGGCACCTCTCTGTGTATACGCTGCAGCTTCGTCACATATGATTGGAATGCTGCTACGGAGGAAGGAACCATGGCTTGTCACACCCACAGCGATCCACTCTACCTCCACCCGTCTGCAAACTGTTTGGGCTTCAAAACAAACACGCCCACTTTCATCCCAGGAGGCCCGGGTCAAACACAGCTGTGGGGCCGGGGCGTTGACAAAGTGGGATGTCGGTTTTGACACACAGGTGACAGGTTGAGGTGGAGCTTCTGGAAGAGCAAAGGCTTTCACATTGTGTATGTATCAATAGACCCACCATCAAATTATGTTCATTTTAAATCAATACCAAATCAATACCAATATGACCAATTACCAATATTCTTACGTGGTCTTCAGTTTTGGTTGTTTTGTTTATGCACAGATTTTCCATTGTGGTTTTTAACTGCAAATAGCGAGGGTGAAGGCTGAATCTGAAGCTATTCTTTTCTTCATTAAAAGCCATTTAAAAACTCAACTTCATTTCAAAATCCCAACTAGGTCTGAGCTCTTAAAACAACATCACAGGTTTTGACATGCAAGAATATTCAGCCTCCGTTTCATCTTTAGATCAGCTTTTACAGACAGAAAAGTAAATAAAAAACCCAAAGAGTCAAATATACTCACAAGGCTTTCTCTTACAAGTTTGCAAATTATACCATGCATTCTAATAAGATGATTGTGGTTTTAACTCAGACTCTTTCTGCTGGGATCACTATTATTATCTATGACACAGCAAAACATTAAAGCTTGAAGAAGTAAATAAATAAAGAGGGCCAGATCGAATTCTCCGCCGTCACCGGGAAATGCCAGAACAAGACAGACATGACTCAAAGAGCACACCCATTCACACCGGCTAAACTTACCACCTTTTAGAAAACGACTGTACTCAATATTACTGTGTGTTCAATCCCAATTTATCCGCAAAGTAAAGCGGGAAGACAACGGCATCCTTTCACGTAATCAGCGCTAATAACCCAGTTCAGCAGCAGGATTAGAGAAAGTGCAGTTTCTTACCTCGTCATCTGCAGAGGTCAGCGATTGATCCACAGAACAGTCCAGGGACATGAGGAAGAGAACAAGCATCAATTAGAAATGTGAAGGCACTAAATAGACGTATCGTTGAGCTACAGAGGTGGTAAACGTACTAGTCTTATTAGGTAATAAAAAGGTGCATTATCCAGGTCTTTATGTGAAAAGAAAATGTATGATTTTTGGGTCTTGCAGTAGAGAGTGACCCAGCGGCTGTATAAGTGGCCAGCCTTTACTTTGATTCAAACAAAATCAACTAAATGTAAATATTGACGTGAGTAAGAAGTGAAATCGTTCCGTGAGCAAAAGTAGAAAAGTAGCTTGTGTGAGCACTTGAATAAAAAGTGAAATTCATTGTTGTTGAATAATTTATGGACAATGTAAGTATTGGAGACATTGTAAGCGTTGCCTTTGCTTTGAATAATATAATACTGTGTGAAAGTCTTTCTGGCAAATTATATGACAAACAAAACATGTTCAATTTAAGCCAAATGGTTTTCTGAATTTAGAAGCGTCGCTAACTAACCACAAAGAATTGATTAACATGCTTCCTCACTTCAACCCGTTTTTATGTCACATCATAGTCTGTAAACAGAGCAGAAAGCACATATGGTGGGGTGTAAAAGCCAAAAAGTTGTCAGAAAAACAAGTTGTAAAGTACTGATACTGTTAAACTATGTTAAATTATTAGTTTCTTTCTGATTGATCCATAAATTGATTCATATTTATGCCTGATACATTTTTTTTTTTTTTTTTTTTTTACAGTATGTGACTCACAGCAGCAGTGATGAGAGACCTTGTTTTTATTAAACTGTGCTTCCTCAAACGGCACATAAGAACCACACTGCTTCCAAATCACTACAGTGCATCTGTATAGGAGCATTTTAGGATTATGCAATGTAATAATATCGCAGCACACATGAGCTCAGGGCTTTCAATGTCCTGCATATGGACAATATATAATGCATGAGCAGCATGTTGCCGGTGCGCCTAAAAACATCCCCACATCGCCGAGCATCACTTCTTCTAACACACTTTGATGATGAATGGCAAATGCAAAAGAAAGATTAGGACTTTTTGACAGACAGGGGTGAGGAAGGGAGGCATCATTCAACTCACCCAAATTAGCACTAAAGCTATAATTACTGATGTGAGACATTCAATTCCAAGGCATGGCTGTAATGTCTGCTTGCTTGACTTGTTAATTTTTCCTGTGGTTTCTCTTGTTGACCTACATGCAGAGAAATCCTCCCGGCCCTGGTGCTGTGGCAGTGGGGATGGTGGTGTCTGCCCGCGAGGTTTCCCTGGAGGAATGTGAGGGCTGCTGCTGACAATGCCACCCTCACCACCAGTGTCTCACACTGGGCATCAACCGTGGCATATTCAGTTGTGAAATAAGTTAAGGTTATAAAAATACTAACACCAGCTGTAAATCCTGACCATATCAACATCATTCAAACTGGAGGACCTAATTTTGTATTGTTCCACCAGACCACAACATGCTGTTTTTATCCAATTAGAAAACATTGTATTTTTAAATACTGAGAGCTGATTGGCTGAGTGAGGGCTGGTACTCTCTTTTTCCCCAAAGAAGCTGATCTTAAGATTTGGCGGAGGCTAAAAAGACATGAATGTGAAAGTGCCTTACAGTTTAAGTAATTAAGTATCTTAATTTAGAGAGCGAGGAACTAGTTATATGGATTTCATTACTTGGTTTGTGGTTTCAAAGTGAGGTACTCCAGCTTAAAGAATGGGGTAAATATGACCACTTTGGAAGCTTAACCTACTGATTTAGTTTATTTTATGTGAAAAATGATACATATGACATGGCAGCAGTCAGTTAGTTCCTCTAGATTATTGATGTTCTTTGCTGTGATCTTTGTTCATTTTTTGAGAGCGTGAACTGACATTTATTGTAAGACACCTTTTTTTTCTGTGGCTTCAAAGTCAAGTAATCCAGCTTTAGTGTGCAATAGGTAAAGTTTGGAACGGTGCCAACTCACATCTGTAACACTGCCCTCGCTTAAACACAAAGCCTGGTCAAAACAGCACGTTTGTCCATCATATTGGCGCGATCATTAATGTTGGGTTAAAACATCAGAAACACAAAAATTAAAGCTTTTTTAAAACGCACAGATGGGGAGTGCTGCAGCCTCCGTGTATCTACAAATAGTTTAGTGGCGAGTCCTAGTGCCACTCTTGCATAACTGCAGAATTACACACTGCTGCTGCTGCTTCCAGAGTAAAGCTTTGGGCTGCCAGCTTTTTAAGAGGTTTGCTTTCTGCAGAACTACGTGTACCCTTTGAATTTTGCAGCACGATCCCTGACAGCTGATCCACGCATTTATCAGCACTGCCACACACAGACACACACGCACACATACGCACACGCAGAGACACGCTATCCCACTTGCCCATAGGAGTTCATTGAAACAAAATCCATATCGATCCGTGGTGACGTTTGTTTGACAAGACGTCCCACACGCGGCACCGGAGGACGCCAACACTCACCGTGGTGGAACATCGCAGAGCGGAACCGGTTGTTGCTGGAAAAATGATCCATCTTTTAAACTTCCAAGTGCCCCAGTGCCCCTGCCCCAGTGGCGTCCTGTCCTGTGCCCTGGTCCGTGTGGGTCGTGGCGGTTCTTCGGGGTGAAGTGTGAGTGAGAGCGGTGCCTTCAGTCTGACCGGACAAACCCGTCTTCTGCGCATACGTCATCGCGCAACACAGACGCTGCTGCGGTGGAATCAAAACACAAGCACGTGGACGAGTGGCAGATCTGACCCGCCGTAAAGACCCGTGTGATATAATAGATGTAATCCCAGTTATCCCAGCATAACAGGGGGATTCGAGATGATGGAATGTGTGTGTGTATATATGACTGCAGTGGCGCATCTTGGAGACTGAGCCAAGGACACTGTGATAAAATCAATCAATTATTTTATTTCAAACTAGTCTGTATTCAATATAAAAAACATGATACAAAATAAACAGAAATCAGCAGTTTGGGGATGGGGTTAGACCAATAGATCCATGGGTTAGACGGACTCTGATGGATCTATAATTTGATTGACAATTAACGCTTGATACAATAATATTCATACGTGTTGAGACCATGGATCTAGGTTGAGACTCACAGCAGCACTGATGAGAGGCCTTGGTTTTTTGACCTCCTCGATTTGGGGTTTGCTGCTTTCAAGGATCGTCCATAACGGGTAAAAGCTGCTTATGTGTGACATAGACCATTGTTTTTCAACCAGTGGGCTGTGGTACGTTAGTGTGCCTTGAGATGTTGTTTGGTGTGTCTCTGATAATGGCAAGTTTATTTGTATAGCACAATTCATACACAAGGCAACTCAAATACTGAACAAAACAAGAAAGCATTATATCCATCCATCCATTTTCTTCCCCTTAATCCATTTCTGGGTCGGGGGGGTGGCAGTCAGAGCTGCACCCAGTACACAGAGCACCAGCCCCTCACTGATCCTCCTGCAAAGTGGGGTTAAGTGTCTTGCCCAAGGACACAACGACAGCAGTCATCAGTAGGAGTCCTGAAGCAGGTCTTGCGGTGGGCTCGAACCCACGACCTTCAGGCCCAAAGGCCAATACTCTACCAACTGAGCTACTGTCGCCCCTAAGAAAGCATTACAATCATAAATAATCACAGTACATTAAAAAGAAAGATAAAAATATAAAATCCCTCAGTTGTATGCACAGTTAAACAGCACTGTTTTTAACCTGGTTTTAAACATTGTCATTGAGGAGGCCTGTCTCACATCTTCAGGAAGACTGTTCCAGATTTTAGCAGCATGAATCTGAAAAGCAGCCTCCCCATGTTTAGTTCTGACTCTGGACACTAACAGGAGTCCAGTCCCTGTGCTCCTCAGAGTCCGGGCTGGTTCATATGGGACTAACATGTCACTAATATATTTTGGTGCGAGGCCATGGAGAGACTTGTAACAAGCAGGCTGTTGTAACAAGCTGTTTTAAAGTCTATTCTCTGAGCCACAGGAAGCCAGTGCAGAGACCTGAGAACTGGACTAATGTGGTCGTACTTCCTGGTTCTAGTCAGGACTCGAGCTGCTGCATTTTGAATGTACTGCAGCTGTTTTACAGCCTGTTTGGACAGACCTGTGAGCAGGCCATTGCAGTAGTCTAACCTACTGGAGACAAATGCATGGATAAGAATCTCCAGGTCTGCTTTAGACACTATGTTTTTGATCCTGGCAATGTTTTTTAGATGGTAAAAAGCTGCTGATGTTACTGATTTGATGTGGCTATTAAAATTTAAGTCTGAGTCCAGTATTACCCCTAGATTTCTGACCTTGTTTGAAGGTTTTAGGGAGAGGGACTGTAGGTGACGATGACGCTCTCTCTTTGTTTCTGGGAACCAAAGACAATCATTTCAGTTTTGTCTGCGTTTAGCTGAAGGAAGTTATTTTGCATCCACTCACTGATCTGTTGGATACAGTGAAGGAGTGAGTCCACTGGTCCATGTTCTCCTGCAGTTAGTGAGACATAGATCTGAGTGTCGTCTGCATATTTATGATAGGACCCTCCATAATGATCAAAACAGGTCAAAATAATGTGAGAAGATGATTTTCTTTATAATACACCTTGATGAGAGTGCAGCCTTCATTAACAATTCAGAGTCAGAGTGTTGTGGATGTACCAGTTTCAGCTGGCGATGTGCCATGTGGTGGTTTTCAGTGAAAAAAGTGTGCCCCGGCTCAAAAAGTTTGGGGAACACTGTGATAGACTAATATTTAGTGCTCTCTGTGGCTTTGTCATTCACTGTAAGAAGTCTTATCATGTGAAATCTTCATGCATATCCAGTATATCTGGATATGCATTTTTATAATATTGCAGCAGCTGTAAGACTTTCGAAGAACGTAGATGTCTTCAATCACTCTCACTCGTTTAACACACACGCACGCACGCACACACACGCACGCACACACACGCGCACACACACACGCACACACACACATACACACTCTCTCTCTACTATTGTGTTTTTTAAACAGGTTAAAAAAAAAGAAGCATAACAAAGATTGATGTGTTAAACGCTCCTAGTTCTTACAGTTTTTCAGTATTCTATGTATAGTTTTCTCCATGCATGTATGTGGAACATCCTATTTAATGTTATTAAACGTGTTCCGTCCATGTACTCATTTAAAGTAGTAGTAGTTGTGGTAGTATATTTGAGTATTTTACAGTGAATGTTTACATATATAAGCAGTATGTACATTACACAATACATTGTATATATTTATTATAAAGCAGTGTTTTCATCTCTTCCTAGTCTTGTTGTAATCTGCTTTGTTGCACCGCATTGAGCAGCGGTCCTGTATGAACTGCTCTTGCTCAGCCAATCAGCTCTCATTAAACCAATATATCAATAAACCACACACTTTACTTGTAGAGAGGAGTTTTATTATCAGCTGTGACAAAAGAAACAAAACAGTAACCTCCTCGAAAACAAAATATTAAAGATTAAAGTGCAGAATTGTTTTCACAGCATGTGTAAAAATTAAATAAGACAACAAAATGAATCCAATAACTGATATCTGGAATAAATATGGGAGACAACAAGATGGAATCTCACACAAAACATCAGCAAAGTCAATTCTCTGGAGTCCGGACTGATGGTACGTAAAAATAAATGAACGTTGTCAAATCGTTGGCAAGGCTAGCTTTCAACAAAGGCACAGCATTGTTCAGAGGTAACGATCCTTTGCTAGAAGTGAGGGACACACTGTGGATCATGACACACTCACAGCCGTCCAACATGCATCAGGTTTGGGCTCACACACAATGAGGACCACACGCACAGTCACACACTCTGTTCCTCTGTCGCTGCATTTTACAGCATCTCACTGCAAAAAGTGAGAAAATATGAGCTAATACATGGTTAAATCAAGTTAGTATCTTAAATCTGAGGACATTCTGTCTTAAAACAAGATATGCCAATGGGACAAAGTCTTATTTCAAGAACTGCTGCCTTTTTTGCATAGGGCAATCCAAATGTGCTCAAATTAATATACATTTTAAGCAAGTTTTGACTTATTTTTCATCACTTTTTGCAGCTGTAACTCTGCACTCCTACAAACTCTGAAACTCCTCCAGAACAACAGCCCTGAGCCACAGTGTGATATGCACAGTCCAACATTTAGGTGTCCCACTGGTGAAATAAGTAGCGTGTAATAACACAGGCTGTTTACAAAGGATCACTCCATAGGCAGCAGGCGGAAATAGGAAATCACATCCTCTTGGAAGCACAGATGAGAAAAAAGTGTCTTTCAAAAAACCAAATGCCATTCATTCCAGCATCAGTCAAATGCAGCTCCAAAGAGGATGGATTTTCTGAACAATTTTACAAAGGCTCCATCAGTGTCTTGCATTAAGCAACCTGAACTGACACAAAATATTGTGACCACAAGTAGCCCCATAGTGGAAATAAACAAACATGGCTTCAAGCAGCCATGTGGTAGTATAGTGCAAATAAATTACTCACATCTATTATAAAAATCGAAGCAGATACAACATCAAATGCTTATTTCCATTCCAGTCCTGTTTCGTGTAAAGCTGAACAAACAAAGTACATCATGCAGCTTGTGAAGACAGCAGCAGAGATTTTACAAAGCAATCTCTAATATTGAAATAAGAATGAATGAAAATGAACTTTAAAGCGTGTGTTGTCAAAAAGTGATAGAGACATTTATTAATGTACAGTGGTATTTACATGACGAGATGTGTAGTAGAGGATTGTGGAGCGAGGACACAAGGCCAATGTGTTTGAACCTGACAGCAACAGCATGGATCAAATGGCAATAAAGGCTTTCTAGATTACACGATTTAACGTTTTGTTACAAGGATCTCCAGCAATTCCGATTCATGAAATGATAAATGCTGCCATCAAAACAAAAGTGAACTTTTCTGGTCAAAGTTGGTTTGTTTGTTGTACACCTCATTTGTACCCACAATGGAATATTTCTCAAAATTCAATGGCCACTCGGCCACCTGCCGTCTGATTTAAGATTCATTTACAATTCGCCTTCTGCCAACTGCCAATAAAATGTGGCAATGTATAACATGAAGGCATATAAAATATGTGTATAAAATTACTATATACAATTTTACAATGTTGCTGGCTATGTCTGTTTTTTAACAATAAAGGCATGACATTTGTTTCTTGAAATGACTGCTACAGAAAAACAGGATTGGTGCTGGTACATCGACAAGTCCATGTTGGGGAATCATATCTGCATTATTTACAGCCATAGATCTATTTAAAGCTTGAAAGGGCCCTTTAACGTGGAGACTATCCTCCTCCAGTAAATGTTGTCCTCATTCTGTTAAACAAGCCAGAGCCAACAATGCAAACTTACAGCCCAAAGTATTTGAAGATAAAATATCTATTTTCTCTGCTGAGGGATCCTGTGTGTTTTATGTACATTGGATGAATACAGTAAATAATTCCACCAGATAGTGTGTGTCTAGGACGGCTGCACACTTAGATATTTCCAGATATTCTCTGATGTTATGTTCCCCAAGTTTTAGGACCCTCCTGAGACTTAATCCTGAGCCAAGGTCAGAAACAGCAGCCTCATAATCGAGGCGACTTCTCCAAAACCCTTCAAACACCTACAGCAGCACACCATTGCCCTCAGCAGACCACACAGCCTCAGTTTGGTCTTCTCTCTCTCGTTCAGTCTGTCCTGTTTCAGATCTACTCCGGCTCTTCAGGGCTGTACAGGCCGTTCTCAGAGCGTGTGACACTGTGGCTTTCCCAGAAGGCCTTGTGCAGCTGCTCCAGTTCAGAGATCAGAGGCAAGCCCATGTCCAAATGCATCTTTAAGTTCTCCAACCATTCTTCCAGTTTTGTAAAAGCAGGCCTGAAGAGAAGGTGCATATGAAATACCCCGTTGTATACTGTATCAGGCAATAATCTAAAATGGTGATTAGTACAAAGAATGTACCGTTTGTCTGCGTCGAGATCACAGCATAGAGCAGCCATTGGAAAGAACGCTTGGGGACAATCTTTGGGCCAGTAATGTTCAAGGAAGCCAGAGATGTTCAGACCAAAATCCACTGCCCTTGGTAAATAGTCTGGGTCAGCGTTGACTCTCCCGATAATCTGGACACAGATAGAGGAAGCAGAGGATAAGATACAACTGGGTAAAAGAGCACCACACCATCATTCATGTGTGTGTAGTCAGATGACGCTTCATTTGGTCGTTAATCTGAAACGTCTTTTAGAATTGAGGTCCATAGTAGCACTAATCTTTCTTTATTCAAATTTAAAGCTGGAGTACCTAACTTTCAAACCACAAACAAATGATGTAATAAATTCCATGTCACTAGTTCCTTGCTTTCAACTATTTTGTTGTATCTCTCGCATATATAGTCTTAAATAGTCATACATGCACATATAGTCTTCACATGCATGTGTTTCTGTCACATGTTTGGATCATCTATTTCAGTGAAAAAGAGAACCAGCCCTCACCCAACCAATCAGCTCTCAGTGCGTACAAGATAAAAGGCTTTCTAATTAGATAAAGATGGCATGTTGTGATTTGATTTTTCCACAAAATGTTATTTTTCTTGTCCCTCTTTTTCTTGGTACAAGAATTTAAATTTATGAAAGAGGTACTCCGGCTTTAATACCAATGGGTGTTTTACTAAATATTTATAATAACATAGAGTAACAAATCCTTACCTCACACAGCATGATTCCAAAAGAAAATATGTCAACTCTTTCATCATAACTCTTTCCTAAAAAGGAAAGAAAAACACAAATGACGGTCAGTACTTTTGCTGCTGTTGTCTCTAAAACAGTCGTTTCAAACACATCCACACACCATGAATCATTTCAGGGGCCATCCAATAAGGATTCCCCACTACTGTGTATCTCTTCCTGCGATCTGGCCGCTTCAGTCCCGGCAGTTTACCCTTTGACAGGCGGTCTTCATGCTTGTCATCCACCATGAGCCGTGCAAGGCCAAAGTCAGCGACAACAACTGTGTTATCCTAGAAAACAACAACAACAGCACTTCATTCACCAAGCTTCATCTGTGCTGCACTGCTACTTTAACAATGTCCCAGGAGCTTCAGCGCTTTGTCTCCACTGTCTATAGAACGTGACAAAATCCAAAGAGAAAACAGTCTGTGCATGCGATCTTACCTCTCGGACGAGACAGTTGTGCGAGTTGAGGTCCCGATGGATTATGTTCATGGAATGCAGGTAGGACTGTATCAACAGACAGAAGCAAAGACAACATGTTAGGCCAAAGCCAAAAACAACTAACATGTTTCAAAGGTTTTAGAGTTTATAGAACACAAGGATCCCATTGTACTTGACTACAGATGTTTGAATGTGGAAAATAGTGAATTGCAGTACATCAAGAAGAAACTATTTGAAGATTTTGTACATCAATAAACTTTTTAAATGAATGAAACTAATCTTTATAGTAGAGTAAAAATGGGAGCCAAAAACTGGGATTGTTTTAGTTTGACCACTAGGGGGAGCCAACATAGTGCGTACAATGACGATCAGCTTCAATTCACTGGACTATTGACTAAGACAAATATTTCAAAAGGAGTGCCGCCTCACCATGCCTGCAGCGATGTCCTTGGCAAAACTCACTCGCTGGTTCCAGGGGTGTTGGCTGTCCTGTGATCGGAATAATAAAAATGTAACAACAATAACAATCATAAGTAGAAGGATGTGAACTTATGACTTACTAAATGACTCACCATTTTCTTTATAATGTCCCGTAGAGTGCCTCCCTTTATGTATTCAGAGATAAAGTTGAGTCTTTTGTCTTTGTAGAGAACTCCAATAAACTTCAAAACATTTGGGTGATCAAGACATCTCATCACCTTCACCTGGGAGGAAAAGTTAGCGATCACGATCTTGCACATTGAAAAGTCGAGTTTTGGATTTGGTTCTTTTGCCAGATCTTTGTAAGAGCCACAAAACAATCAAATGGTCTGATTGAGCAGACAACTTTTAAAAAGACATATGTGTAAAAGTATGTATGACATGACAAAGTGAAGGTTTACATATGAAGGGTGTCAGGATAAAAAAAAAAAATGTTTTAATCGGTGAACTTGAGTATGAGTGTATATTAATACTTTATAATATTATGCGCAATCACCTCTTTAAGGAATGTTAGCTGGGTTTCGTCATCAAAGCGGATCAACTCCTTCATGACCATCACCTCCCCTGTTTCTCTATGGGTGACCTGAAAAGAGTCAAACCAAAAGCCAAAACATAAGAATCAATGCTGCCATCATCTGGTCACTATAGAGTACTACAGTCAGTCTTACAGATCCAAGGAGGGGATTCAAATGTACCTTTATAGCTTGTCCAAAGCACCCTTTACCAAGGACTTCTCCATGAATGAGGTCAGACGGGCGGAAGATGCGATGTGTTCGATTGGAAACCACTCTGAGAGACTCCGAGCGGTTCATGTCCTTCCTCTGGGACATAGGAGAAGCTGCGTTGCTGGGGCTTGGTGATTTGTCGATGCTATAGCTTCTCCTAGAAGACACAAAGGACAAATATTAGGCTACAGCAAAGCAGCACAACCACTGACAGACAGTGTTAGATACTGACTTACGTGACAATACGTGAGCGAAAGTTGTTGACGTCTGCATTTGGGGGCTGTGTGATGGGGCCTGGACTTCGCAGTGGTCCGTCCACCTGCTCCTCTGCATCTGTAGAGCCATTATGTCCATGGCTGTGAGGGTCATGTTCAATGGTGAGCTGAAGCAGCTGACTGGTCTCTTGAATCAGCAAGTCAATCTAGATGACACAAGAGAAGCATTTGAACTAAAGTATTAGTTCAATCAGAAAAGGCCTGATACAATCATGACACAAAATAATATATTAATCATTTACTCATCTATCATATTATTTATCATTAATTATTACACTTGTTTCAGTATTAGAGAAAAACTTTTCCAGAGAATAAGACAATCCAAAAGGAATAATACCGCATCCAATGGGACATTGTGAATGGGCGTCCCATTGATCTCCAGGATCCGATCACCCACATGGATAGAATTTTTCACATCAGGACTAATGCATTCTTTATCCACTCTGCAGAAAACCAATTCAATATCAATTATTAGGTTCATTGTTACAATTGTTTTGCACTTTGGAAATTCCCCACTTACTCTGTGACTCTGAGAGTATGTCCGGGCTCAGGGCTGAACGCACTTGGGGGACTCAGAGGCTGGTCAATGCCTACTGAGAATCCACGGCCCCTTCTTCCATTGTTGGCTTCAGCTGAGGCCGGGATGGACACTAGAGTGACCGTGTGTGGGATCCGCGAGCACGGAGAGTCAGGGAGTGACACGGGCGTGACCACAGTCTGATAGTAGCAATGACCACTGCCGCCAAAAATACACACATACATCAGTCTTTTCTTTTGTGCTCCCTTAAAATCACTGCACCTCTTGTTAAAACGTTTATCAAAACTGTCCCAGTAAAACCATTCGGATTGAGCTACGGCAGAATTTGAAATACACACAAATAATAACAATCATAACTCAACATAAACTAAGCCAAAATTAGCCAAATTTGCAAAATATGACCTGAACTTCATCATTATACCCTAAATGTGTGATATACCCTAAATGTGTGACACTGTAAATGTATTCAACAACAGTTATATACACACCAGTAAAGCTTGGATCTCTCAACCAAAGCGTACGTGTCTCCATCTCCAATGAACGACCTGCAGTTCAGACAGGTGAAGCATTCTGGGTGATATTTCTGCTCTCCTGCGACCTACAAAGTACAACAACCACAAGTTAGAAACGTGCACCACAGTATATATAAAGTTGATGTTGACCTACAAAGATAGCTACAAAAACCCAGGGGGCAAATAGTTTTTTCCTCGAACCAGTGAAGAGAGCAGTTTATTAAATGGTTGGAGGAATAGGGTACAAGGCCTGGTCAGTGTGCGGCGTCAGCTGAGAAATTGATTTTGTCCCTGCTCGTGCTGTGGGCAGAAGTGGGAATTGAGTTATGGACAAAAAAGCGAATGGGCTGCTGATCAGAAAAATCGCAGATGTGAGCATGACGCTGGTCTCTCTAGTGGAGCTTCCAAACAGTGAGAGCATAAATCACATGTCCAAACAGAACAATCTTTTTTTACAGCAGCTCATTGAATATGTCTCAGTAATAATGAAACCAATGAATCGATTAAATGGCAAAACACTGACCCTTTTAACTTTTGCACTGCTTTCAAATACCACCACACACACACAGCCCTGTCACAATAACACATTTTGATGGACCATTTCTTTCTAATATGAATGATTGAGATAATATGGAAACTACGTTATAAGTAAGTACAATACAGCAGGATAATGCATTTTTAAAAATCACATACACTACCGTTCAAAAGTTTGGGGTCACCCACGTGTTTTCCACGAGAAGTCACACTTATTCACCACCATACGTTGTGAAATGAATAAAAAATAGAGTGAAGACATTGACAAGGTTAGAAATAATGATTTGTATTTGAAATAATATTTGTTTTACATCTAACTTTGCTTTTACATCCTCCATTTGCAGCAATTACAACATTGCACCAAAAACCAGACATTTGCAGCCAGAATAGTCATTTACCACATAAGCAATGTATAGAGTGTATTTCTTTGCAGTTAAGACTAGTTTAAAGTTATCTACAGCTTTTCCTTCAAAAATAAGGACATTTCAATGTGACCCCAAACTTTTGAATGGTAGTGTATATTTAAATAAAAGGCATTTCATAGCACATCTATAAAACCAAACATCCGGTCATTTTTAGCCTTATTGAAAACTCTACTGTAAGCAAAAATCTTGTTGCTATTGCATTTTTCACTTTCCAGATGATAAATAATGAGGCCCAAAATATAAAGTTTAATTATTTGAAGAAGATGACATAGTCTGGGATCGCGTCTTTCATTCAGACAGAAGACATGTTTTATTGTCGATGGTAGAGACAGCACGAACAACACAGATACAACAGAATGCAAGTGTATTATACAGAGCGGAGGCATGGAGACCTCCAATCAGCAGCTTCCACAGTGCCATGTAGCTTGGCCTTCAGATAGACAAAACAAGGGAAAAGTACTGGCTTCTGCACATTGATAGAATGATGAGTTTAACTTTAACAAAAGTTGCTTAAAAGTGTTATGAAATCTCACATTCCCCCCTCTGGTCACACATTCACGTGTGACCATCAGGATCGATAAACAGCAACATAACATCATAACTCAATACTTCAAAACTCATACTTCACTCGGTACTTCAAAAAACTCAGAACTCGGAATACTTCAAAAACTCAGAAAACTCATAAAACATGTTCAGATCTTTCATAAAACTTGTCAACAATCTTCAGTAAAATACCAAACTTCATCAGTCGATGGTGGTTCCAGATATTGCTTTGAAAACAGTCTCTCCCACTTCTCCGTGTTGATTTCTTCAGGCTGCATTTGTGTCGAGCCATGAATTCTTCTGTGACGTGTCTTTCAATCACACGTTTCAGCTTCAGTGTCCAGATTCAGCAATTCAATTCAGTCCAAATTATGTCCAAATTCAGAAATCCAGATTGTTCCAAATGATGTCCAAATTGTGTAATCCAATTTTTCCAAATGATGTCCATGCAAAAGAGGACGATGGTATTATCCATGTCTCAGCAGCTCACAGCCTGACTGGAATCAGGGGCTGTGCAGATTGTCCAAGTGTGCTGGTCCAGATGCATGGTTTCTCTTGAGGTTTTTCAGTTTCGGCTTGAAAAAAAAAACACTTTTTGTGTAAAAAAAAAAAGTAGTCTTCTGTTCTGTAGATGTTACAGACAAGGCCCGCATCCTTCCACCACCTGAAGAAGATGACATAGTCTGGGATCGCGTCTTTCATTCATACAGAAGACATGTTTTATTGTCGATGGTAGAGACAGCACGAACAAAGCACACGATCCCAGATACAATAGAATGCAAGTGTATTATACAGAGCGGAGGCATGGAGACCTCCAATCAGCAGCTTCCACAGTGTGCTTGTAGCTTGGCCTTCAGATAGACAAAACAAGGGAAAAGTACTGGCTTCTGCACATTGATAGAATGATGAGTTTAACTTTAACAAAAGTTGCTTCAAAGTGTTATGAAATCTCACATATTTATTGTGCGATAGTTGTGATTATTATCGTGACAGGCCTACACACACACAGCTATGAGAACAATGCAAATCTCTGGCAGCCTCAGTGTACTTTCTTTGAGTGGCATGAAAATTTAGGACGTAAGCTGCTCTTTGGCGATCCCCTTCCACTGCAACGATCTGCAAGTCTAATTAAGGAGACTCAGGTTGAAGCATGGGGGGAGCCAAAGCATGGGCAGCACAAAGAGCGATCGAATAAATGCAAAGCAAGCGCAAAGACACCATACAGGATTTTCTTCTGTAAAAGAGTCATCCTTAATATTAACCAAAAATGTTTGCAGGAAACACAACATTCACTAATAGAACTTAATCAGCATCATAGTAAGTTGTTTTGTATCATGTAATTTTAAATGACAAATGATGAAGAGGATGTTTAACTGTAAAAGGTACAATTAATCATCTTTTGTGCACAGGCATGACGGCTCCACGCAACCTCTCTCCCCAGAGACCTGAGGAGCCTCGACACAGCAGACAACAAACAGGCAGACACATGGCCGCCCTTCTGGCTCGAGCAAGGACCCTCCTGAATATTAATCACCTGCATTCAAACTGAATACTTTTGAGCAGAGTCTACGACCGCGTCTCCGACAAACACTCTGCCGAACATCAACATTTCATTTCGGGATAAAGATGTCGACACCACAAAGGCTAACTTTAAAGCTTTAGTTGGTGTTTATAAAAATAGAAAGAGTCTTGTTTAACTAACATTTTGTGAACCATGGTATCATTATTTAAGTAGAAAAAATTTGATCTTTTACATACTGAGAGTTGATTGGCTGATTGAGGGTGGCAGTCTCTTTTTCACTGAAAAAGTGGATCTAAAGATAAGAAATAAATGCATGCACACGCTTTTATTACATAGTTAACTTTTGAGGTTTCAAAGTTACGTATTCCAGCTTTAACTTCATGCACAATTAAATTACAATAGATCTTGAATGTACCAACACATGGGCATCTTGTAATACATTTTGACGGCCTTTAAATAAGATTCGCGAAATGAACAAGTAATTTATGTAATGTTTTCTCATTCAAGGTGACAAATAGCCTGTCTTTTTTTATATTTTCATTGAAACAAGATTTTGCACATGTTCTATCGGCCAATCGTCTTCAAAGAAAGTCGAAACACACTCAAATGAACATTAAAAACAAAAGGTTGGAGACCCTAGCTCCAGGACGAAATGAAAACATCAGTTCTACTCAAACCCGATCGGAACAAAATATTGAGCCATTTATCAAACCAGGCCACAATATTGGCAGAAAAACCAAATAGGACTTTCCTCTCAGCTCAAAAACATGACAAAGGATGTAGTGTCATCTGAAACCACTACTTTCTTTTCCTGGAGATAGACTTACAGTATATTCTATCTGGACAAATGTCTGAGAGTGGAAGCGTGGACAGCTGGACAGGGATGAGAGGGAAGTGAGGGCCATTTGCAGACCATAAGGGCAGGACTCCGGCTCGCCCATGAGACACATATGACACCCAGACCTGTGAGGCCATTTGACAAAGCAACAGCTGCAGCCTGCACTGTACTTGACTGTATTTATCTCATCATCGGCTCATTCTAAAGCTTAAAGAAGACATAGACATCATGTGGCTGCATTGGTTCCATCTCATTTTCTGATCCTCGCTGTGGATCTGTGAATGAGCTCATCAGCGTGTGACTTTGACCGGTCATACTCCTGATGGCGCCTCCGGGTGACTACGGGCCGAGACATGTCCAGGGAAGACCAGGGGAGGAAGAGGAGGAGGAGGTGGTGGGTGCCATGTGGGAGAGGCCCGATCGGATTACACAGCACTAACGGGGGGTCCCTGATCACCCATGTTGCAAGAGGAAATATCCAGTAACGTCTGTATGCAGAATGGAAGTAACCAATTGCAATCATCATCATGTGCCATTTCCAAGCTTTTTAAATGTCACTGGACAATGCAGAGTGAAAGAGAACAACACAATTACTGTAAAACTGTTTTAAAAGATTTATAACACACCGGTGGCCAGCAACACAGACCATATATTGCAGTGTTTTACAGCCTGCCTGGAGATGTTGTTTGGAAATGATCCAATATCACTTTATTGGTCAAAAAAAGGTGAAAAAAAAATGATGAGAGAAGATTAGAAAGACTTATTTGCGCTTGTTTGATTGTCAATATATTACACTTTGATGACTTTGTGTTGTTAATAAAGGCCCCAGAGTTTCATGTTTGTACCAGTTTCGGGTGGTGATGTGCCATGTGATGGTTTTACATGAAAAAAGTGTAGCACGGCTCAAAAAGGTGAGAGAGAAGAAACTGTGGGAAGAAACTACGAAGCCATAAAGAGTTCTCTGCATAATACAAATATTTAGTTCTTTCTTCATCACAATATTGACAATCTTTGGATGAATGTATTGATGCAAAAGGGTTGGATCCACGTCACGGATTATCTGAACGCAGTTGAAAATATTCTAGCACATTCATAAGTCACACACACACATCTCCAGTGCTTCGAGGTAGTTCTGTGTGAGACAAGCTTCTGTTCAGGAGGCGTTCAAATAAAGGATGAGTTAAGCCGTGCATACGACTGGGCTGAGCTACTTTTAACACTTCATATTCAATTTTTTTATTTGTTTTATGATTTTTAAGGTTTTTTATTTTACATTTTAGACAAAAAAGACATCAAACACATTTGTTTTGTAGAAATAATATTGTGACTGTGAAGTATCAGAAAGACCCCACATTTGATCTGAAGTGGGTCAGAAAGATCACAATAAATATGACAATAGAAATAACAATAAAAATGCTGTTCTGGGACTTGCTTTGAGATAAAGTCCAAATATTGGTTTTTTTTTTGCAACAATAAATCACTTGATGTTTATTTTTCATATTAAATGAATGACTGCACATATGTTTCTGTACAATTATGATATTATTCAATAAATAACATTATAATTTGGAGCTTAATGTCCTTTGCACATATTATTCTTTGCAATAACAAACAGAAATGTCTTCTTTTGCCACTAATATGAGCAGCTGAGTCTAACTTCAAAGCTAGATTCAATGTTTACCTTCTAAACTATAGTCTGCATTGATTTTTTTTCTCCTTAGTTGTAAATATAACATTGCAATCTGTATCTTTCATCAAAACATGTCACAGAGTTATCCAAATAGGACTGAATGAATACAGAAAAAGTGAATAGTTTCTTCATGGGAGCCTTAAGTGTTGATAGTAGGCTAGAGTACAGACAGACCACACGCAAAGACAGAAAAGCCTCTGTGATCAAACATGGAGGAAACACTGAGTCTCTTTGAATGAAAACCCTGTGACAGACGACAGTGCACACATACAAGAGCAGAGAGAATGCAGTCATCCTCTTTCCTCATCTCTGTGTCAAATGCAGGAAGCCGGCTGCTGTGAGTTGTAAACACAAATACGACACAAAACCAAAGCAGCGTGTCAACTCTGTACGCAGACACCAACTTTTATCTGACAAATCCTAAAAATAGTGAGTGTGCCGTGGCTCATCAGTTTTTCATGACAAGCTCAAGAAGAAGCACGAACGGAGCGGCGCAAACGGGAGAATCCACTGACCTAGTTCTAAATGACAAGCAAAAACACACTCAGCACTTAAAGGGAAAATCACTATTCAGCCACTATTCACACTTGACAAGCTCTGCTCTCTATTTGTTTAGAAGCTGGTTACACTAAAGTCAGTCTACATGCTTTTGACAGCAGCGGCGGCTCACCTTCTTCTCTCGTTTCCACAGCCTGAGACAGCAGAAGCTCCAGAAGAACAGGTCTCCCACCATGTCAGCGAGAGCCGGCGTCTGCCTAGTGCATCCTACAGCAGCCTCTGTCCTGCCCCGCCACAGCCACAACAAAACAGAACCAGCGCTGAGAACCGGTGCCAGTCCACGCCTTTGCAGCTGAGCTCATCTCCCGAATCAATGTCACTCCCCTCCACCGCCGGCTCGCTCGCCCCCGCCCCTCTCCACGCCTTCCTCCTCTCCTACTTTTACTATGACCTCATCGTTTCCTGTTGGGCTCCTCCCACCCGTGCACATGCGCCAGCCGGCTTTTTCAGCGATCCTGCTTGAGGAGCACCAACCCCCAACAGTGTGAAATGCATTCCTTCCCTTTGGCCCCCAGTGCACCCGCATTCCAGAGCTGATAGTGGTTAAAAATGAAGCAATGCTGTTTTGGTTGTTTAAAAGGGCTTTATCTTTGAGAGGGTGCACAGGGATATCAGGGTTTACCTTGTTTCAAAATTGTGTAAATTGTGCACAAAGGTAACATTTCTGAAAATTGTGCGCAGGCGACGGAACTAATGTGGATTCAATGATCGACAGAATCTTGGTCAATTTTTTTGCTAGAGCTGAGAAACGATGTCTTTTGAAGAAGATGACAAAGTCTGGGATCGCGTCTTTAATTCAGACAGAAGACATGTTTTATTGTCGATGGTAGAGACAGCACGAACAACACAAACAACAGAATGCAAGTGTATTATACAGAGCGGAGGCATGGAGACCTCCAATCAGCAGCTGCCACAGTGCCATGTAGCTTGGCCTTCAGATAGACAAAACAAGGGAAAAGTACTGGCTTCTGCACATTGATAGAATGATGAGTTTAACTTTAACAAAAGTTGCTTAAAAGTGTTATGAAATCTCACACTTTGTTGAGCTTATGATATATATGCAAGAAAGGAGAAGTAGTCGAGAAAGTAAAACCATATTTTATCCATGTTCCCTTTCCAAAGAAATACTAGTGCTATGTCTTTACACTGCAACGAATGACAAAATATTCAAGTAAGCAATAATGGCTTGAATTGAGTGGTTTTTATATTAATTTGAGTAAATTCTGACTGTCTTAAAACGAGATTTGCAAATAGGACAAAGCCGTTTATTTCAAGAACTGTTGCTTTATTTTATCATTCCTATGGAGACATTTCTTGCATCTTTTTAAATCAACAGAATCTTTCTTGTCCTATTGGCAAATCTTGTTTTAAGAACTAAATTACATTTTAGCCAAATTTGAGCATTTTTTGGCTTATTTTCCATAACTTTTTGCAACGTAATTCATAGTATCTATGAATAATCAAATATTGTCAGTATTAATGTTACTATAGTTTTTCCTTGTAATCCATTCCCTGGTCAGTGTATGGTAATAGTCCTTGTTGTTTAAAAAGAATACATGTTGAGACATAAAAACTGTAGTAACGTCAGTGTCTATTATTGAGTTGCATCAAATACTGTAGTGCTGATGTGATTCTTTCCTTCACCTCTTCACCAGGGGTCCATGTGGCTCCTTTCTATAACATGTTCCACATACCAACTGTTGTGTCCAGTCACAGCGCTCTGGCCAACTCATATTAATAGATGGTCAGAAGCACTCAGGTCTCAAGCGCTTTACGTTAGACAGAGACAGACGCAGAGGATGGAGGAGGCCAGACACGGACTGATCAAGTTACACTGGGAGTCAGTGCATAGACGCTGCATTAGTAACAAAGGCACACAGGCTAAAAGCACTCTTGTATATGAGTTTTATACACACAAAAAAACCTGCCCTGCACCTCCCAAAATGAAAATGGGGAAGTAGTCAAAACGAAATAGCCAAAACTATGTAGGAAGGACGATAAAGGAAATGTATTTATTAATAATAATAATAATAATTATGCATTGGCTTTTTAAATAGCGCTTTTCTGGACACTCAAAGACGCCTCACATGTCATTATTCTTTCACTCCAAACACGGTGGTGATAAACTAGAAATATAGCCACAGCTGCCCTGGAGCACAACAAAACACAACAGGACACTTAAAGCTGAGGTACCCAACTTTCAAACCACACAAATTAAACTATAATAAAATCTTAACTTGTTACTGACCCTAAAACAGTTGGGTTTTCATGAGTGAGTTTTTGGCCTCTGTCCCATCTTTAGATCAGCTTCTCCAGACAGAAAAGTGAATCAGATGGGACCACCCTCACACAGTGCAAAGCATCCAATAGTGACTCACAGAAAAGACAATGTTTTTGAATAAGATGAAGTCAATATGTTGTGATTTGGTTTGTTCACAAGAAAAACCTGCATGTGTTATTAATGACACAAAAACTTAATTACCCCACCAGACACCAGGCCTGTAATGTGAGATTCTTTTCATTCTCTACAAATGTAAACAACATTTAGAGAAGATGTGTGTCACAAGTTTGGAAAATCTTCAGAAAATTCCCTTCATATCAAAAGTGTTGCAATGAAAATGTGAAACTGCCCACATGTGACATTCAGGGGGTGCTTCAGGTTTTGAATTCACACAAAGGAAAGCGGAAATGTCCTTTTGGTGGTTATGAGTATGAAACTATAAAAAGGCTTGATCATAAGTCAGACACTTTACTATACGCAGACAGCAGGAGGGTCTAGAGAAGCACATGGACCACCTCCGGACATGCAGAGGAAGGACAGCCTTTGGTTCATAACAGCGTAAAGAACATTTGTGCAGACTGGCCGTGGTTAAATGCACACATGACTTTGTGCTGGAACAAGCAAAAATAAACTCTGTGATTACTGTACGATGATAATGTTATAGCCTCGATGGAAACACACCTCTCAGTGACACATGGCAAATTCCTGCTGTCGGAGGAGGAACACTTTTAGGCAGTGGGACTTTCCGCTGTTGTGGCGGCTAATTCTTAACAACCACATACACATCCCCCCACTCTTTACCTCAACAATTTTTGCAATGTTTTTTATTATTTGAATTGTGAAAATCAACATGGTTTATTGTCTTTTTAGAGATCAAAAGGGAAACAAGGATAAACATAAAAACCACACGCAATCAACTTACGGAGCAATCTGGAACTAATAAAAACATGAATAATCATCACCAAAGTGTTTTGATCTGCAACTGTCATCATCCCCCGCACGTTAGTTTATTACGTGTGCCTCAGATTTATATTAGATGCATAATGCGTTTATTATTAGATGAAGATTGTAGTTCTTGTTCTTCATTATTAATCATGAGAGTCCAATTATGTGCCATCACATTATATGAATCTAACAGTTTTGTGTGCGCTTATAATGAGGAGCATGTAATCTACAAGCACAAGTGAAGTTGGGGATAATTACATTATTCAGCTCTCATTATTTTACTCTCAGTCTCTCTTCTAAGATCATTTATTGTTGTTTTGAGAGGTGCAAGTTGTGTTTGTCCTTAAGTAAGTCCTTGTCCTCAGAAGCTGAGTCACTGCTCCAAACTGCAGCATTGCCTCCAGTGAAGGGTCGCAACGGGACAGTGCTGCATTTTGGTGATCGTACAGACATCCTCAGACAGCTGACCCTGTCTGTCTGTCTGTCTTTCTGGTCATGTCCTTTACTGCAGTAAGGCTGGAAGGATGTTAAATTTACTTAAGTGTATTCACCAAAGGCGAAATAGAAACAGCAATTCCTCCATCTCATCCACTTCGTCCTCCTGTGCGGAGGCATTACTGAGATTGCACAGTGAGAATGTGAAAACACACACTCTGCTCAAACGGCGGTACTTCATCAGGAGCCTATTCCACGGCTGTCACACCTCAGGCTTTATGGCAAGAAGTGAACTCCACACTGCCCCGTGGAAGCACCTGGTCTGGACTTTATAGTGTAAGAGGAAGGGAAACCAATTCTCACAAACAAACTGCACTAGTAGTAGCTTTCTCAAATAAGGAGAAGGAAATTGAGGGTTTACATCTAACTCTGTGAAACTGTTGCGTATTAGCGCAAAGGTTTCTGTGTAAAATAACACTAATTTGTCTCATTTGCTTTAACAATGAGTAACTCTAACTTGGTTTGAAAACCAAGTTAGAAACACCTCATCAATCTCTGAAAGACAAGCAGTGCCTCAACTAGGAATATAGGGAGAGGGTCTTCACAAAGACCACTGCTGTTGTGTCCTCGGGCAAGACCCTCAACGTGACTGCAATGTTCTTCTGCTGTTGTATGAATGAAGGTTTTTGTGTGCGTAACGGATGCATTCAGCACATGGCAACAATCCAGTTTTAAAGCAGCCGCTTTACAAAAACTGTCTAATCAAACAAAAGTTTCCAATACTTTTTACACAAACTGTCACTTAAAAATCAATATAAATGAAATGATAAATGAAACATTCACTTGGGCTTCTCACATTCTCCCAGGTTCCTTGTCCGGTCATGGAAATAAATGACTAATTAACAAATGGAAAGACTATTTTGTCTGTTCTACAAAGCAGTAAATCTATTCAAGAATGAAGGCTGTTGTCTCCTCGCTCCTTACTCCTGTTACGTACGCGCTCTCAAAGCTCGGACTTCCACTGGAGGTCTGTAAAAGCCTCCCACACTCACAGTTCTGGCACGGCCTGCACACTTGTATACACGTTTGTACTATGAGCCGATGAGAGGGACGAGGAGTAACTGGAGTTTAATCTGCAAACAGAGAAGCAGCGGGGGGCGATCACAGCATGCAGCTCTTACCATGATGAGGCCAGTGGTGATGGGGTCGGAGCAGCCATGGCACAGCTCCCCAAACTTGTCCCAGTAGTCCTTTTTACAGAAGAGGCGCCCCTCTTTCTCATAGTACCAGTGGGACAGCGACGCACTGCACTCGCAGCACCTACATGACACAAACGCCCGGTTAATAGATTGAAGCCGACATTGTTTCTCACATATCAGCTGCTCTGATGGAGAAAAGACAACAAGGATTTATTCAATGTTAATAATAAAACGTGAGTTATCTCTGCAATGAGCAGCAAATGACACAAATGACTATAGACTATAATCATGTCATTATATTTGTTGACGGAGTATTTTGTTAACTGTGTTTGGTCTAAACCACATAATGACACTCTTTGGTTAAATTATAGCTTTCATTTGATCCTTTGCTGAGGCATCACACACTCTGACATCACAGACAAACATGCTGACAGGACAGTGACACATGTAACTGACAGGACTGTTTTCCAGTGTGTTTCAGGCTCAAGACGAGACTGCCACTCGTCACGACACACAGCGTCTAAACACCCTTCCAGTGTGTTTCATTGGAACAAGGCACAAAAGTCACTATAGATATTACATATGTATTCAAATATAATATTCAAATGTTTCTTGCTTCCCTATTAGGAAGGTGCAGGTGCTTGACTAAACAGAGCCATCTTTACC